ACTCTTACTTCAGCTGCTTCCATCAGTGGAGACCTTACCCCACAAGGAGCCTGTGCGCCCCATGTACTCCATTCACGCATTCTACAAAAACATGTGCTGGGCACCTGCCAGGGTTTAAACACCTTACTCAGCAGTGAATAAGACACAATTGACAGAATAGGTCCTCTCTCTCTAGGGGGTCCAGACAACAGGTCAGAAACAGACCCCTGAAGAATTACAGTACCAAGGTGTTATAAACAAGTGCTTTAAAATTACATTAACTGTACCAGAAGGGTCACATGATTGACATGTGTGACTCATTAAGTTTCGGGGGGAGGCACACTTGAATCATACCTTGAAAGAGGGAGATGTCACCAGGCAAAGGCAAAACTAAGTGTCACAGAGTGGAAGTCCATGAGCAAACCTACAGCAGTAGGAGGAGATTGAATCTCTTGGAGATAACCTGAAAGCTGGTTTGTTCATTTTAAATACATATGTAGAATAAAGCACATGACTGAGGAAGAAATACTGGTAGGAGAGCATGAGAGAAATAAGTGGTATGGCGTACATTTTGCACAAATAACTGAATACTATCTTGAAAATAATGGCAATGAGATGTTTTTGAAAACAAGACAGTGCCACATCAGGCATGCATTATACAGTACTTCTTGTCCTACAGTGTGTAGGACAGGTTAAAGTGGTAGCAACCTAGAGGAAGGATCTAAGTCATGGAAGAGTGAGGACACAGAAGCAAACACAGCTGGGAGGACTATGGCAGGAGGCTGACTGAATGTAGGTGGGTGAGCACAAAAGAAGGCAAAATGGTGGTAACGACCTGGGCAAAGTGTTTGTTGAATACCCGCAGGTTCCCCCAAAGGTTTCTGATGATACAAAGTTAACTCTCCCAGAAACAGGTTTATGCAACAAACTTACACTGAATGAAAACACCATGAAATGAACAAAAGCCCATACTACCTAAACCAGGGATTTTAGCAGACTAAGTGAGCATATTTTTATTTTGATTAGGAAAACACTGACCGAACATGAAGTTTTAATATGTCATTGAAGTGATAAGAATCCCTCTAAGGATGTCTTGAAAATGGTATCTAGTTGGAGTTCATATCAAGGAAATGGACGAATGGAATTTTCAGTTGGTGTGTGTGCTAAAAGGACATCTGATTTGAAGCATAGCATTAACACTTATGTATCCTTAACTTTCTGTATAACTAAGGAATAAAGCTTGTGTAATATCCTCTAAAGCATACATTCTCTACTTGTGCTACAAAAAAATAATAACAATGAAAACCTAGAACCTGGCTTGCTAATGCCCAAATAGTTTTGGACATGTGAGCATCTGCAGCAGCGTCTACAAAATACTGAGAGCAAAGTCTCGAGTACAAAACAAATTCACTACTAAAAATAACCCGACTCAAGTCCTTTTCATAGTTCTCTGAGCCCACCCCGTGGGTGTGGGCATTTCTGCATTCTGTCTGAACCTTTCAATTCAGATAGATGTGCAGCCTTCAAGTAATCACGAAGCAGCATTTCTTGTAAAATATGGGAGTGGATTACCCAGACATTTCAAAGACATAGATATTTTCAGGTTTATAAAATCATTCCTTTGATTTCCTAAAACAATAATTAATATATGCACCCAGACTGAAGTTATATCTCCATCATCAAAAACCTTAAACATTGACTACGAATTTGTCCTACAGGCCATACAGTTTTAAGGCTAGTTGATTTATTAAGAGGGAAGTGAACACTTACAAATCCACGGAGTCATGTGTGGTAAAGCTCTGACTCCTCTGTTCCTAGGAAGCTGCATTTTAAAACCTGAACTATGAGAACACTCCCTACTGGGTAAACAACATGCAGTCACGTACATCAAAGCAATTGGAATACACATAATATATGTAGATGCTCAGTAATCATCAGGTGCCGTTACTGTTCTTTCAGTTTGACTTTCATTCTGGCGCTCAATGGAAATTTAAGAGATTGCATGTGTAATTACCAAATGCTATTCTGACATTTTAAATTGCTTGGTATACACTTGAAAATTTCATTCAAATTCAGTTCTGATTTTATTGATGTACTTTCAGTTTGTTTCACCTATTACACACCAAGATCATCTAATATATAAATAAGACAGATAGATCATCAAATTTACCAACAAGTATGTATGTTTCTTTCATGACCTTAGGTGTTCTGTTGAGTTTAAAGAGTGAATATTAAATAATTATATGGGTTTTGAGGTGCTACAAGGACTTAGAACATGAGTTCATCTCAGGATCTGCGAGCTCCTTGGAAGTGGAGTCATGTTTTTGTCTGGTCCCCAGTAGAACCTAACATAGTCCACAGTAGAAAGGGGATGAGGAGTAACTATGTTGAATGAACAAACATATTTCTTTAGGGACATTCTAGAATAGAAGGTCTACTCGATTTGGTTAAGACTGTACTGTGTTTTCTACAAGACCTCTGATTTCAGCAGTGTCTAGAATAGAGCAGAAGTTTAACCAACTTGTATGAAAGAATTATAGCTTCAACTGAGAGTCTGGCTTTCTTAGAATGAGGTGAATAACACTTGATTAAAGTAACCTAAAACACATGAACATTATTTTACATAAAATTTCACTTGTTACCACTGTTTTTCAGTTAACTTCCCAACAGAGAATTACAAATAATCAATAATAGTTAACTGAAGTGCCATGATTATATTTTCTGATTCAGTCTCTGTCTAATATATTGTTAGTGAAAAGGCCAAGAAAGAAAAAAACAAGGGTGTTCTGGAAGATCATGGAATTATTCCAGACTCCGAGTTCAGCTTATGAATATATAGGTTTTCATAAGTGCTCATTAAAAGTATAGGTGGATCAACTATAAAAAATTCTGAAGTAGAAAAAGAACATGAGAGTTCTTAAGGAAAAGCGACAAGATATAGGGGAAATCACTACTTTGGTTAGATAACTCTATTGATATTTACCTAGGGACTAAAAAACATAAATTTCACAAATACAAAATATGCTCAAGGTATGTGTATATATTTAAAAGGTATTTGTAGGAATACTCACTTTAGAGAATAGAATATGAAGATTTCATATAAACCCCTTACAATAAAAAGTCAAATGACCTTTTACAATCGACAATGTCTTCACGGTAGGAGCAAGTGAAAAACCCTATTAACTCCTTCATTTCTGCCCTTTTGCTGTATTGGCCACAATCATCCTTCATTCCCTTTAACATTAAGAAGTATCAGCTTTAACCCAATAAATTTACTCAGATAAACACAATGTAGTTTTCTTTTAAAATAAGCCTTTACTGAATATATCAACAAGGTACTGTATAGTGTAGAGTGAATTTGTAATTAACAAAGTGTGCGGCATGACAGGTCTCCGAGGGTGAGTGATGCGGAGTCTTCCAGCCCCTTCAGTCCCTTGTCAGCGAGAACGCACTAAACACAAACCAGCAGCAACATAAGTGATTCAAACAAGAACAAATCACCAGGATTAACTTTCAGTGAAGATATGCTGGTCCTCTGAGGGACACACAGTGGCGACGCCTTCACCTTGCCTCTTAAAGGTTATGAATATGACACTCCAGCACATGTTTCTGTGTGTGCACAGATGTTTTACACGTTTAAAAATGCCTGTTGTGATAACCTTGCTTTGTGCTCTTCCACTGGGCAAACTGCTGGAAAACGTGACCGTTAGCAAAATAATCAGATTTGTGTGTTTTAAGAAACAGTATCATACATGTACAAAACTTCCTCCCCACAATTAGTGACAAGTGTCCCATATGCAGGCACGGTCTTTCAACCTGCTGAAGAAATCAGAGAAGGAATTAAGTGACAGCTTCCCATATTAGTATTCTGACTTAAAAGTAAGAGCATCCAGCAAGGCTCGACAAGATTAAGAACTGGGAAGGGTCTTTTGTGCGTCTTGTGCATGTGTCTTTCCCAATTGGGCACTCTTCCCTCCTTTGCTCTCCCACCAGCTGGAAAGGTAAGTCATGAACAAAACGGTTATTTTCACTTTCCAAAGTGGAACTTAATGCCTCCTTGTTATAGGTTAGAGAACAATGCTATGAGGACAGAAGTCAATGGAAATCCACCACTTCACTGTCAAAAGTTGCAATGGGCTCTGCAGCTGAGGTTTGCTGGTCAAGGGCCGCCTCTGCTCCCGGGACTGCACCAAAGTTGCCTGTGTTTGGGAGGATGCTCTGCTCACAGGGGCGGTGTAGACACCTCAGCGGGGAAGGAAGCTCTGACTCCTTAGGGAATGTCTAAGACCAGGATGATCTGGGCTAGGAAATGGGGCTGTAACATTCACTACTTCATTCACTTACCAGGCTGGTCACATGACACTTGTTTTTTAACTGCAGGAAAAAATGTCTACTATATTTTCAACCCACAGCCGGATAATTAGAAGTTGCATTATTTCTCACAGGGCAGAATGCTTTCCAGTTGTTACACCAGGAAAAGAGGCTAGGGAACACAGTCCTGTCTCTACCTGTGACTGGCCCAGTTGATGGGCCATTCATGTGTCAGACAGTCTCTAGTGAAGTCCAGGGTCTCCCCATGATCACACACAACTCCCGCAACAAGCAGGTAGTAATGACAACCACGGGCATGAATACTGGTCAGGAATATCTCTATGATCATAACTACGCCTTTTCCTTTGGAATCTCCTTTGCACAGTGGCCGCCTGCTCTCTGAAATCTCCTCACTCAGACAGACGGCATCAGGCTCTTTATAAGCCACTCAGGATGGCTCTGTTTAACCTTCACTCTCGTCTAAACACCTCCAAATACATAGTAATGCCAGCAAGAGAGGGTAAATACAGGGCAGATGGATCAACAAAAGACATTCTCAAGACTAAAAATGTCAATCAAAGTATAATCCACCACTGAGGGTTGCTGAGCAGTTTTCCTAACACACATGACAAATCTCAAGCTGTGCTTTGTGTCCTGAGGCAGGTGAGAGCCCCTGGCACGCTATCACACGCAGGGGGTTGACTGTCATTTTGCTCACTTCGCCATGTTGGGCACAACATGAGAGCGAAGCAGGATGTCAGATTCTACCTCTTCAGGAACACCTTCTAGCTAAGGAACCTTTAAGGTCATCCTAAGCACTTCACAAGACTAGATCCCCAATGTACCACCTAAGCCCCAGATGATTCCGTGAATCCCATAAGACAGTAAAGACACCCCTCCAGCCTTGGTCTTCTTGGCCCAGAGCAGATAATTTCAGCAGCCAGATATCCCGCTAGGGGTTATACACACAACACAAATAAATAAGGATTATCTTGTGAATAAAAGAAAGAAAACCTCAAAGTACCATCATTTGAGCACATAGTTTTATCTACACAGCCAAGGGGAAGAGGGCAGTGGAAGGGAATTATTCAGTTAATTACACAAAACCCCATGTCAATGTCCTGACTTTAGATGGCTTACTGCTTCGCCGATCACCTTCACAGATGGTCTTATCCCTTCACTGCGTGGACCCAGCTCCGAAAAGCCACAGCCACACTCACTAGCTAATCAACTAAAATGGAAACCAAAATCACTGTAGAATTAAGTGAAATTAATTCATAGTTAATTTTGGCTCAACTGACTGCACGGTTTCAATTCTTGTGTCTAGAGCATTGTATCTTCAATTTTATTTTCTGCTTATTCTGAGGGATAAGGGAGAATAAAACATAAGTTGGGGCTCTATTATTAAAGAAAATAAAGCTCTTACTATAAAGAAAAACTTGCATAGCATTTTATACCTAAAATTTTACAAATAAGACACATCACAGTTCTATTTTTTTTTTAAATTGAGTGTGAGAGAGAGAGAGTGAGTGCACAAAATGATCATGACATTAACTGTATGAGTTCCTAAACAATAACCGGTGGTAGAAGAAATATGTAACATAGAGTGAAATGCCAAAATCTGATAATGAAAAGAACTTTCCAAGGGTGTATTTTGTAGATAACATATGCGATCTATAGCCCTTCTAAATCTAAGGGAAGGAAAAGAGTAAATTATATATGCCTTCTGGGCTGAAGCATGAATATCCCCTCTCTTCTCTACTCTGCTCCACCCTCTGCTCTGTGCCCAGCTCTGCCAAGATTAAGGGAACAACCCCTGTCTGACTTGTTCATTTTTCATCTGTTATCCTGTTAATAGAAGAGTGATCATCCCTACACTAGTCCCAAAGAAGAGAAATATCCAAGATTGAAAAGGAATAAATAAAATTAAAAAAAAAAAAGGGGACAGAATCAATGTCAATCCAAGGGGGAAAAACGATGATGCTTTAAAAAAATACCTTATTTTGGCCAGGTTTGATGTGTCCTTAACAGAATTTTAGTGGTGAAAATTAATGTACATTTTTAATTATATAAGTATACATGAATATTTTGTGCAACCAAGACTGGCATCGTAATACTCTTTCAAATTTTGAACAGGGAGGGGAGGGAGAAAAACGAACAGCATAAATAGCTAATTATGAAAATATATGTGGGGTGATTGGAAGACAAGAATTTGTGAGGGGGTAACAGTATTAATTCAAGCTATTTCAACATGATACTAACAAAGGCAATTGACACAGTATAGCAGAAACAGTGATCACCTGCTTTTGTCTAAATGGTATTGATAACAAGTTGTTGTAATATATTCAAACATTGATCCCTTGTTGGTCTAAATATCATGTTGAGATAGCTGCAGTGAATCTACCCAAAGAAATAATTCTCATTATCAAAAATAATTCCATTCAATATAATCTTCCCATTATTTTTATTAGCATCTTCTAAAAAAAGTATTCTAGAATATATCTCTGTTGAATGTGATTCAACCTGACATATAATTTTGAATAGTCACACTTTTAAAGGGAATTTTCTTGCTGGGACGTTTTACCTGTCCCTGAAGATGACTAAAATCAGACTGAGGTCTCTACCTCTGTTATCACAAAGCGCCAGGGAAGCATTGAGAGTGATTTTTAAGTTCCTGGCAAGAATGCCAACCCCCAGGTTTAAGGGTCTTTTCAAAACTCGTCTTGTGTTTTTGCTTCCGCCAAGCTGAGTTACCTTATCTCACAGGAACTGACTTCCTCGCGATGCTTTCTCCATTTCCTGTTTTGGGTCAAATGAGGGTAACTACCTCCATTCTTATATATTTTGGATTTCTTTTTTTTCTTTTTCTTTTTTTTTTTTTTTTTTTTACTTTTCTTCCTGACCAGGAAGTATAGAAATAGCATGAAGATATCTGGGTCATTTTTTGTTAGACCCCTTTTATTTAGCCTACCCTGATGAATCCACTTTCATCTGCCCTTTCATCTGACCACCAGCTCTAGAAAAAGAATTCATTTTGACAGCTTCAACAGCCAAGTGGTTAATGTGCATCATAAGGAAGAATCACTCGTTCTTTTGCCTTGGCTTCGGGTTCTCTTTGTACAACCCTGTACAGTACTTCAGCAACTATTTTTTTTTTTAGATTTAAAAAGCAAAGAGTTACAAAACTGTTTGTAATTAACTTGAAATAGAAAAGATAGCACTTTTTTAAATCCCATTATATAGTACACCGTATAAATTACAGAGTATTCAAATGCACAAATGCATCTGGGTAACATTTATCAAATGTAATTTGCGTGTCTATGTGCACACACGTGTGTGTTCTTGGGAGTTTTACTGTTCGCCTGTGTAACACCGGACCTTGGCCGTCACGTGTGGCAGTGCTCCAGGTCTGGCACACTGCTGTTGCAGTATCGCATGTTGTTGGTGATGTGGCAGTCTGTGTAATTAATGCCCCCATTTGGGGTGTAAATGGGCTGCAGTCTGAAATCTCCTTTAAGGAGCTGATCGTTATTTAAGGAGACGATCTGAAAGCTGGTTTCTGTCATCTCCAGGATGGAGTTGTCCTTCTTGGTGCCTGCCTCACAGTAGTCATCTTTCCGCCGGCCTCGGTTATATTTCCACTTCTGGGAGGTGTAGCGTCCCTTTTTGTGCATGTGCCAGCAAAAGACGCTGAGCAAGACCACGAGCACAAATATCACGGCACCCCCGATCAGGCCCGCCAGCAGAAAAGGGGAGCCCATGCTGTGGGAGGTCGTTTGCTCGTGGCTGGAAGCAGTGTTGCTGCCATTGTTCAAATAGGAGGCGTGGGTGGTGGCCTCCGAACAAATGGTGTCTTCTACAGCTCGGTAGTTAAAAGCATCCAGTGGCACCAAACAAATCCGATACGTGGATCTGGGCTCCAAATTAACCAGGCTCAAATGTTGCTTTTCCCCACTGACTATGCGTTCTTGAACAATGCCTCCAACTAAACTGTGGCCCATTTTCACCCATGTGAGTTTGTATGCCATCACAGTAAAGAGAGACAGCCAGCTGACTTGAATGGAAGTGTCATTCACAAAATGGACAGAGAGCTGGATCCGTTCAGAAATTGGTGGGGTCACTCTTTCTCTGCCATCCCAGTCAGGTATTGTGGGAAGTTTGGAGGTGGTAGGAGTTGGAGGCGTATAGCTTTTGCTCGGGGTTAAGACAGACAGCGTGGGAGGCTGAGTTGTAGGAGACGCTGTACTAGGGGCTGAGGTGAAGACAGGCAGGCGGGGGGTCACGGTGGGACAGGACAAGAGATTCATATTCAACTCCCTGACAGCCATCCCCCGGACTTGCTCAGGGCCTTGGCACATAAAACCTCGGACATTGAGAGATGAAGGGATGGATTTGAGCCATTCTGTGACCCATTTAATACTGCAGTCGCAAAACCAGGGGTTATTCCGAGCAGTGAGTTGCTTCAGGTTGGAGAGATTGTCAAAGACCCCTTGAGTCAACATGCGCAGCTGGTTGTTGGATATATCCAGCCGTTCCAGCTTACGGAGATTCGAGAAGGCTGTCAAAGGGATGTGATTTATCTGGTTGTCCTGCAGATACAGCCGGAGCAGGTGCGTACCTGGGAGGTCAGATGGTGGGTGGGAGAGAGAATTCCTTACAATTGAAAATTCCTTGAGCTTAGTGAGATGGCTGAAGGTGCCCTCGGCAATGCCTTTGTTGGTCAGGAGGTTCCCATCCACGATCAGACGCTCCAAGCTCGTGAGGTTCTGAAAGGCCATGTCTGATATGACAGCGATTCGATTTTCGTCCACTCTCAGCTCTTGCAAGTCCACAGGAAGCCCAACAGGTACACTGCTCAGATGATTCTTGGATAGAAACAACAACTTGAGACTAATGGCCTCCCGGAAGGCGCCATCTTCCACCCCCACTGTGGATATAGAGTTGTCATCCAGGTGTAGCTCTTCAAGCTTCAAGAGCTGGGCAAGAGCTGCTCGTGAAATGGTCTGAATGTTGTTTTCCTGCAAATGGAGAACTCGAACATTCTTGGGAAGGTTCATGGGGAATTCATCCAGTTGGTTGCCATAAAGGTAGACCGTGTGCACCGACTGTACGTTGTGCAGTTCTGCAGGAAATCCAGCATTATTAATTTGGTTGTTGTGGAGGTAGAGTACGGTTACGCCCTCCGGGATCCCAAGAGGCACTGAGGTCAAGCTTCGCTCGTTACAGTAGACAAAGTTCCTGTCACAGCGGCACACGCTGGGGCACGCCAGGAGTTTTGACACTTGTGAAGAGAGCCCCAGAGAAATGAGAAGCCAAGATTTCAGGAAAAAAGCCCCATGGCTGGGCCACTGTGTGGTCTGTAGGCCCATTTCTGAAGTACAGAAAGCAAATACAATGTGGTGGGGAAACGAAAACCAAAAATAGATGGCAAATCCAAAATGACCGGATGGAGTTCTGTCAGAGTCCAGAAATCCAACTAGAGGAAAAGTCCCAAAGGCCCACGGTAGAAGAATCTTCCTGCGGTCTCTGGTCTTACCAGCCTGTGTTGACCTCCTTGCTGTTGTCCTCCATGTGCAAAAAAAGATGTTAAAAATTCAACAGAGAGAATTTCCTACACCAGCGAGCAATGAAGGCAAGTTATCAGCGGTCAACAGGGGGCCTGGTGGGCAGGCAGAACACCCGTCTTCCGTTGTTCGTCAAAACAGCGTTGGGCAGTCTGGGAACTTCTCAGTGAAGCTCAATCTGCAATCTGTGCAGGAAAGCAGAGAGAGAAGAGTCAGTTAAGGGTAGTAACGGAGGACGTGTTGACCTGACTGTGCTCCTTTCAAGAATGATTTCACTGGACTAAATGACTAGCGGCAGGCAGGTGATTGGCATTAAGTGATACTTTAAGGAACAATAATTTAGTTGAAGAGGTATTCAAGAAATGAAAACGACTCAATTATCTTCAAAAGGAAACCATACTGTTACCTCTTATTATCAATGATTATATGTGAATTTTACAAGTCCAATCAGTATCATCTCATAAGTACCTATTTGCATATCCAAATAGACAGGCACATCAATGAATCCTCTGATTCAAATAGTGCGATCACCTACATATCCAACTGGCCAAAGTCTTATTTCAAGATGAAACAAGTAAATGAGGAACTAATAGAATTTTAGGGAAAAAAATGAGAAACACTTTCAAGTTATAAACAAACGAACGCAAATGGTGACTGACACAGTCGTTTCAAAAGATGCAGCCTTTTGATCTGACACCTTGAAGACGCACTCTAAATTTGACACAAAAGAAGCATGTGTGAAAGCAGAGAGGAGTTTTCTTCCCCATTATTTTGCCTCTTCTCATTTTTTGTCTTCCTCTTAAATAGTTTGCAATTGAGTTACTGCAGAATATGACCAAGGTCCAATCAGAGACATTTTCACTCATTCCCTCCTTCAGGATCTCCAGACACAGGAGACATGCCACTGTGACCCCTAGACAGTTGTAAAACTCATGACTGGGAATATATTATTTTTCAACAACACAACCTTTTTCCTCTCTGTGAGTTTTTCTGACTTTCCAAGTAGGACTTGCGGTAAAGTTTGAAATTATAGAAGACACAGTTAGAGAAGTAAAGGCAACCTACAGATAGTACTCATGCCTTCATGCTCCAGAACTCGTTCCAACTATTTTTACATTAGAGAGGTAAAGAAGTTAATTGAAAGGTGCCAGATTTGATTTTCCTACAAAATAAGCTAACATGACAGGACATGGAAACTATGAGTCTCAATTCTCACCAATACCCAGAGATTTAAACTACTTACATCAAAAAGCACGGAAAACCTTTTGAAATCGTTCTCTTAGATATTTTTAGAAACATAATTTAAAAAGAAAAAAGGTGTAAGTGCCATTTAAGTGACAAGGATACTGTAATTTTTTTCTACAATTTAAAAGATTATGAACCATCTAAAAAATGTCTTTGATGACCAGAAGTGGTAAAATTCACTATTTATTGTTCAGAAACATTTTAAAGGAGGGTCCGTGTGGGAGTGTCTTTCCAGGCAAACAGATGGATATGATACTTTTGAAAAAAAAATTACTTAATTTGTTAATCTCACAAATACATGGTTTGCCACTGAACAGGAACTATTCCCTTCTTGTAAAATCCCTCTATGCTTAAAGAATAATGTACAGTACAACTAAGGTAGTATAGGAAAAACGAGTTGAATTCATAAGCTTAGTGCCACGCTTAGATCAGGTTTCAAATTTTCAAACCACCTCAATGTTCCCTAATAGCTTGTTACTCAAGTATGATCTTTGGTCCAGAAGCGTGAGCTTGACCTCAGAAGTTGTTGAAAACTCAGAATCTATGTGTTAGTGAGGACCCTGGGGGGACACATTAAAATTTGACAAGCTCCACCCGAAAGAGTCCCATCTTATTTAATCATTCCAATGTTTTGAATTATCACATGTAAAATAAATGTAAGAGCATGTCCAATGACTCTTTCAAGAAGAGTAAAGGCATAAGGTATACTCACCACTTCTGTCCCCAGTAGAGTGTCTCAAATTACACCCTACATGTATGTAAATGACATTTTATAGGTGGAGCAGTGCAGTGACTATCAATGCCACCTGGCTTCCGTGGACTCGGAGCGTTTGTCTGAATGACATGAACGAGTGTCTGGTAGGAGTCATGATTTATTTAAGAACGTGAAACTGCTTGGTGCTGTTAGTGTTTATTCTTCAAAAGAGGTAGTCTATGGGGATGAAAAGAAAATCTAGTATATATTTTAGTATCCCACAAGAATCTTCAAAGTGTTTTGTGAACACACAGTGCATTAAACTTTCTAAGAGGGAAAACAGCCACACCAGGGTCTCTGAGTAAGATCCTATGTACAAAGGATAGATCTTAACTCTGTTTGCACGCCAAGTTTCACAGGGCCTGAAAACCATAAGCCCATACTTGAAAATGACAGCATATATGTAGAAAGTTCCTCAGTTAACAGTCTCAAAGCAAAAATCACTGGGAATTAACAAAGTGCTCAGGATGGGCCTGAAGACTCTCATGAAGTACCCAAGTCATCAATTTCCTACTTGCCTGGGTTGTGTCCTCTGGAGGAAGGAGGAGTAAGTCCCTCTGGCCCAGACCCCATGCCCTTGCAGGTGTATTTTATTGTAACTGTTTCTTCTCTACTTACATAAGAAGAGGAAGTAGTCCTGAAAAGGCTCCTCATAGGATTACAAGAGGCAAACTGTTACTGTTTATCCACCTTCCTGGGAGAACAGTTCCATCTTTATCACAATGTGTTGATCAGCTATAACAAACGCAAGCTGGAATGAAAACAGACTCAGAGTTTTCTCTGAGCTTCTTGGGAACCCCACAAAATAAGAGTGCACAGTAGATTTGCTCTCATCCTTGGATCAACAACAGCCTACATATTATGTCTGCCAATCTATTGTATCTCTGTTCCAAGTAATGCAAGTATAAAATTACAAACACGTAGAAAAAATATTTTTGAATTTCAGTAGGCAAAAATTTCCTCTATATGTTCAGCTCTAATTCCTATTGAATACCTAAGGCAGAAATCCTTTTAGACTTTAATCTGAAGACTATTTACAGAGCCGTAGTACAAAGTAAGAGTCAAAAGGCTGGGCCTTGAGATTCATTCCACCCTTGACCCTCAGTAGCTCCGGGACTTTGGATAAATTAACCTTTTAAGTCTCAGTCTCCTCATATGAGAAATGAGGATAATACAGTTCCTAACTCATAGCACTCTTGGGAGGATTAAGTTGGAAAATATGGTGAAAAGCTTATATAGTGCCCTATGCATGTCAAAAAAATAATATTATAAATGCTTATTCTCTGCGTACTAATACTATCCAAAGATGTAAACTCCAAAATATAGAGAAAAATAAAATCACACTTGACCTGCTAATGTCTGTGCCCCTTCACTGACCCCAGGATTTCTCAACCTCAGAACTATTGACATTTTGAACCTCATAAGGCTTTCGTTGTGGGGTTGCCATGACCCCCCAAAATGTCTCCAGATGGTGCCATATGTACGTCCCCTAGGATAGCAAAACCTCCCCAAGTTGAGAACTATTTACCTGCCCCATATTCTAAATAATTTAGAGGGGTAACGTGTAACTCTGATGTTACAGTGAAACTGAAGGTAAGTTTCTAATAAATGCTAAAAATGCTCCTTGCTTTGGACAGTAAAAATGCAGTATGTTTTTCATTCCTTTCTTCAAACTTTATTGAGTATAGAGTGAAGATACAGTCTCTTGCAGAGCTGATGCAGTTTTTAGCATCGCGAGGCTTACTGTTTAGCGAGGGGAGGAGACTGAAGAGGCAGAGGATGACGGTACTGTGTCAGCAGCACTAACCTTGGGGCATCAGGGGACTGTGGTGCTGTGCCGACAGCTCTAACCTAGCCTGTGGAGTATCAGGAAAAACGCTGAAGGAGGAGGGCTGTCTCTGTGATAATCTCAAGAATAAGCAGGGGAAGGGAGGGAAGATTTTAAAAAGTTCTGCTCATGGATCCAAGCTGGTTATAATGTGGATCAAGAGGCAAAACTCCTAGACCAGCCGAGAAAAGGAACCCAACTTTGACTTTCCCCCAAGTACGTCTGCTCCTCACTGATGTAGTCCTGTTTTTAAAAGATCATAAACAAGTTTCAAGTTTCAAAATTGTTAGCCATTTCATTTGTACCTCTCTACGGTTAGGAATAAACAGATTCAGCTATACAAGATGAATTTACAATATTGACAGCAACAGCTATGTTTGCCCCTTTTTTTCCTTCCCTATTTGTTTGAATGTCGCATTGACTGAGTTTCTCCGCCAGGAAACTGGAGATTATGAATAATGGCTTCATGGAAGGTGCTAGGTAAAAACAGAGATTTTTATTGAGAAGCTGAAAACAGTTTCAAAAGCATGGGTGTAAATCAACATGAAACCAATGCACTGTGGAGACAGCAAGACCTGGCCCTGCCAGTCTGTTCAAGATGACAGCCCAACAGCAGGAGTTTTTCCAGACGGCTTTACTTCACTCTTTTCATCGGACCTGAGACTCAAAGCTCACAAATCATGGAAGAGCTTTCTGCAAAGTGTTTCTTTCCTAGGGCTGCCGAAGGAGGTTTTTGATTCTCTTAAATTAATTCCAGGATCCTCTATTCCAAGAGTGCCTAATAAACTCAGACTATAAAACATCGTAGTTCAGAAAATAGGAACTGTCAATAAGCACTGCCGATTGCGTAATATAATGATACCGGGACAAACCTAATAAAATCTTAATGGTTTCAGCATGGCTGGATTGGGACAAGATAGCACAGCGCATGAAGTGATACTGACACCCGTCGACGGGCTGTAGACAGGCTGTCCGGACCGCTTCGAGTGGACTGAGCGTGTGGCATGCCGCCAGGTAATACTGTCACGAACCACCTCGAGCCATGGCAAGGATATTGAGTTTCACAACACTCCCACGGGCTGGCCGCTTTGCCCAGGTAACTGAGCCCCTGCCTTGTGAAAGATGTGTCCCTGGTGCCGAGCGTTCTGCTCCTCACTGCGGATCCCCCGCCCATCCTGCAAGGTCTGGTCCCTGGCTCTGCCTGGAGGCGAGGTGGGGCTTCCAGGGTTCTTTGACTTTGCTGGTGGCCCTGAGTGAGGGCAACCTGCTGTATGTGGGAACTAGGGCATGGGGAAGGCCATGGAGTTCACTGAGCTCCACAGGAATCTCCCCCACCCCTGGGCAAGATGGGGGCAGGA